AATATAAAGAATATTTAATATTCGTACAAACGTTTCGACGTCGATCGGGTCATTTTCAATGTAAAAACAAATAACATTACATAAGTTGTCGAAATATTCGGTCAGATCAGTATCCAGTGAAACGTATCGGTTATTTCTGTATTCCCTATTATTTGATGTGCGTGGTCCATATGTAAAATTAGCATCATTTGACTGATATAAAAGTGATCTCATCTTATTTTTTAAAATCTACAATCTTACAAATTCACATCAAAATAAAATTAATAAACTGACATTGCGTTACATTTAAAATTAATTTATCAAGTATGTATATTTTATAGTAATTTAGTACCACACAATTATGTTACGTACACACACACACATATATATATATATATATATATACCTTGATTTGTCGTAATGAAGTGAGTCGGACGTTGAGAGAAAAACGCAAAATTAACTAAGTCGTACATAGTAGGCAAAAGTAAGCTATAATACGATATATTGGAGAGAACATGTATTTTCGACGATGTTAGGCGACGTTATGACAAAAAGGCAACAAAGAAACAAAGAAAAGACAATAAATAGAAGGGGACAGAGGACAATGTTAGGAAGGGGAAAGAGATTGTATAATATTAAGATATGATTTCGGCAGAGAATCTGTATCATTTTGTTTGTTTTCCCATGTTTTAATGTGAACCACCTCCGATATTAGTCTCATATTATAAGAAGCTTCTAAAATTTCAACATTACCCCAGTCAAAATTATGATTCTGGTCAATGCGGTAATTAGTAATCACCGTTGGAGATTTTGACTTCTTATTAATATCGGAGACATGTCCGTGTAATCTTGTCTTTAATTATCTTTTTGTCTGACCTACGTAACTAACATCGCAATCATCACAAGAGATTTTATAGACAACGTTTTGATTGCATAAAGGATCCGGCTGGTCTTTGCCCTTTCTTATAAAGTTCCTTAGTGAATTTGGGATAGAGAAGGCTAATTTACAATGAAACCTGTTAGCAATTGGAGTAAATTTTTCAGATACTGAATTCACATAAGGTATTGTGAAAAATTTCTCCTTGATTTTTTTATCAACAGTTCCATCGTTAAAATCAATGTGGAATTTTATTCTTTTTTTTATAGAAGAATTATTGATAAAAATTAAAATAAATCAGCTTCTAAACTATATTAAAATATAAAATATACATATATATATATTTTTCCCTATTCTATATATTTTTAGTGGTATAATTATTATTTCCAAAAAGAATTTTCGCGCTCTCTGTCAGTGCAAATACATTCTCGAAACAATGGAAATACAAATATTTAGCATCCCACAGTAACGCATTAAGACTAGAAATTATTTATAATACTAGAAGAAAGGCTACATACCAATGGAAGGTCTTACAATCGCACAAGGGAAGGAGGAAGAATAATCTTGTATCACCTTTTCCGCTAGGTTTTTTGAAAAAATATATGTGTTGGGTGCATAATCTAAACACCTGTACGTAATTTTAAGTGCATATAGATTTAAAAATTTGAATATGATTAAAATTATATAAATAAAGCGAAAGATTCTAGTACATCAATATATAACGTATAAATGCATAATCGATTTTCGTTTGTAACTTACTTAGCCGAAAAAATGTCTAAAGTATGTTCATCCAATGTCTCGACTATTTCAATTATCTTTTGCCAATCAGCTATTGGCGGGTACACTTTTTCATCTACGAATGGTTCATTCACATGTGCAAATGCTGTACTAACGTATACCAATGCCTTTAACATATAAAAGCAATTAATTAAAAAATGATACTTTTTAAAAATCTTTTTTAGTTTTCATAATAGTGATAGCGGAATTTATATTATCAATTTTAAAATATCAAACATCAAGATAAATATTCATTCAAATTTAATATATTTTATTAGAATAAGTTTATTAGAATATTCGGGCTGTACATATATGATTATATGTATACAATCAGGACCCTTATTCTGAACACGTCTACCGACAATTGTCGGTATCGTTAAGCAGCGACAGCCAATGAGAATCGCGCTTTTTAGCCCTTAGGCTAAAGGATTAACCCTTAGGATTAACCCTTGATATTGGCTATTATTAATTATCAACAATTACCGACAACTATCGGCAGACGTGTACAGAATATGGGCTTAGGTTTAAGAAAGTTATACTTTGTAAAAAATAACTATAGTTACAATTAAGACAAACAAAAAAGTTAAGTAACGTTTAAATCAATAAAAGAATTATATTCAAACTTTACATAATTACTCAGACGTAATAATAGAATAATTTATGAAATTTATATATTTTTGCTTTGAAATAGAACACACAGATTTCTTGTTAAGCTTGAAAAGTACACAATAATACGTGTTTTTGAAGAACATAAATCAAAATATAAGTTGTTACATAAATTGTGTGATAGGGAATGAGTTATTTAAATGTATAATAATAGTTATTTTCTAACTTACGTTTAAATTCTTCATACTTTGTGCTAAAATACAGATGTCTCTTGTTGCTCTGGTATTGGCATATATAGCATATTTTAAACTGTTATTAAATCTCACATTCGCCGCTGCATGAATTATTATAGTCACTCTTTCAACCAGCATTTGATTGTCCGTAGCCGACAAACCTAATCCTTTCTCACTGATATCGCCAGAAATTGGAATTAATTTCTTAAAATTCGAAGGTCGCTCCTCGCGCAATTTTTCAAATAGCTAAAATAGAAGTGCTCTATAAATTATAAATCGTTTCTGTTATAACAATAACTCTGACATATTTTTAAAAATTTTCTTATAAAAAATAGAATGTTTATTTCTTAACTAATGCATTCCGATATTTTATGATTTACTATTAGAAAAATTTACAGATATTCTTTTGGAGAATAATTATTTTCGATGATAACGTTGCAATAACATTTAAATAGTAATTCTTTCTATCACAAACATTTATATAAATTTAATAATATTTTTAAAATCTTAAAAATATCCTAACTACCATAAAGAAGTGCGTTTTATAAAAGTTTCTGTTTGTATATCCAACTTACCGGTAAGTTTAATATTTTTTCGAGCCTTTCGTTAATACTTAATCCTTTCTTCGGTCGCATTAACACAAATATTTCACGAACATCTGGACAAGATCGTAGTATCTTTTCGATAAAAACTTTACCCAGAAATCCTGTTGCACCTGTCAAAAGTATACTTTGTCCATTGTAAAATGCAGGAATCGATTTAGTTGGATCAACAGTCATCTTGTCAATTATTTTTGAAATAAATCTAATCTACAAACAACTATTTGCAATGCAATGCAAAACGTTAAAGATTGTAAAACGCGGAATGGTTTTTGTTTGGTCGATAGAATATGTATATAGTTTGATTAAATGCTTATACCTACGATCAAATACTACACACAAATTAAGCCATTTAAGTCTTTTATAGTCGTAAACTAAATGAAGTTTACCTGCTTTAATGAATCGGAAATAGTTACAATTTTGCAATATAACGTTAAAAGGTCAAGTCATAGTAATGAATATCTATAAAACAATCACGATGAAAGAAGGTCACATCAACGCTTCTTTTATATTTTAATGTTTCAATTTTCGTATACTAAAAATTTCGTTTACACTTCTGTTACTCTCCCATTACATTCGCCTTACGCTCTAATTTTTATTTTCATCAGGGAACAATGATGTAAAAGTATAATGTAATATTTTATATTATATTATACGTTTACTATAGAATTTTACTGTATTTAACAGTATTTTACTGTGTTTACTGCATTTTCTGTATTTACTTTATTATTTAACCTTTCTGTTAATGCATAATTTGTTATTTTTTTTTACTACTTTGTTTTTTCCCTAAAAATGAGAAAATAAAAACAAGATAGTATAAAACTATTTTTTGTTATCCGAAGTACGGAGATTTGATGCGATATAACAAAACTCTTACACAATTATTAAACTATTTTTAGAGGTCCACCGAGGTCCACCTCACAATCAGACAAGGGTTGGATTAGGTTAAGATTAAATCGGAATGGCGATACAAGGGAAGGGATGGACATTGTAATTTAAGGAAACGTTATTGTAATAACATTTATAATAATTTCTACAACATATTTAATAAATATACAACATATGGAACATTTAATGACAGTTTTACTTTAAATACATTTCAATTCTTTTTTATATAATATTTATTTATAAAATTTTGATATTCTCTCTGAATATGAGATAACTTTATTTAATAATGACGTAATGTAAATCATTTATGAAAAAATTAATCCTTTTATTAATGATTTAATATAATATTTTAATAATGTTTTTTAAAGATTTGGACAATTTTGTGTTATGCTTTCTTATAAATACTCCACATAGCACTCCTTGTCCGAGGGACGTCACGATTTGTGCGTAATAGTCGATCTTATTGTTAGATATGCCTAAGTATTCAAACTCTACAAATATTTTTCTCGATATAATAACCATGAAAATCAAGTATTTTATTACGCTTTGTGTTGCATTGCTAAGCTAAACAATGTCATATAGATATCTAACGTTTGTGCGATGTTCCATTCCTCGGATGGAATGTACTGTGTGGGATATTATAAAAGTTTTTCTTTCTATACTTAACACTTACCGGTAAATTTAATATTTTTTTGAGTCTTTCATTAATACTTGACTTTCTTTTTGCCCGTATTAACAGAAATATTTCACTAACATCTGGACAAGATCGTAATATCTTTTCGATAAAAACTTTACCCAAAAATCGTATTGCACCTGTCAAAAGTATTATATTTTGTCTAGCATAAAATGTAGGAATCGACTTGGCTGGATCAACAGTCATCTTGTCAATTACTTTTCAAATTAAATTAATACAAACAACTTTTTGCAACGCAATGCAATGCAACGTATATTGAAAAATTTAGAATAGTTGTTGATTTTGTTATGTCGATAAAAATATGTTTATATAGTTCGAATGAATGCTTATATTTGCGATCAACTTACTGCGCACAAATTACATTATTATTCTTTTATACTCGTAAGATAATGAAGCTTATGCTTTATTAAATCGAAAATGACTACAATTATGCGATCTAATGTTTAAGGTTCAAGGCCGCTATTGTGTATCTCTTTTGAATATGATAATGATAATATCATTATCATATTCAAAAGAGATACACAATAGTGCGCAGTAAGTTGATCGCAGATATAAGCATTCATTCGAACTATATAAACATATTTTTATCGACATAACAAAATCAACATCTTAACGTTCTGACCGTTATGGCGCTTCTTAATTTAAAGCATTATTTTTTGAAACATTTTTAAAGAGGATTATTATGATGAATTAAATTTTTTTATTAAAAAATATTTATTATGACATTTAAAAAGGACATTCCTTATACGTTTAAAAAACGTTTAAAGAACGTCTTTTTACCGTTTGAAACAGTTTTTTTTAACAATCAACAAACAATGTTTTTAAAATGTTTCTAAGATATTTGAAGAAATCGTCTGTTGAAAGGTGGCAGAACTAACAAAATATTTTAATTTTTATCTGGGACCTAATTTTTGGCTTGCCTTTAAGATCTTTTCATTGATCTCATATTATTGCACCTTTTATTCTATTAGACATAACAGGCGCGTGCCTTGCGCTCGCTACTGAGCTTTTAATATTATATATACAAATATGCACATAATATTTATTAATCGATTACACTTAACTTTCGATACACATAACCGTCAAACGCGTGATTTCCGCGTTGACAGCCGCTCACGAAGTAAGCGCAGCAAGAGAACCAAAGACATAGACAATGTATGCGCGATCCATAATTAATAAGGGAAGTTTCACAATTGTCCGGAACCGATTTGATTCTCCATGAAATATGTTGTTAAACACAAAAATCTAAGAGACACGTATTTTTTTATAGGAAATGAAATATCGGAAGTAGTAGAGAATATGGAAAATTAATTTATCAAAAAACTTTAAGATTATATAATTAATTATCCCGAAAATAAGGAAGCTCACCGTGATCACAAAGCACCATATCACAAACATTACTATTAATAATTCAAACCCGTTTCTGATATGTTGGCCAGTCAGTATCAGACACAGTGAGTCACTTTTAAATTTAATTAGTCTTTTTTGAGATTGAAAATGGGAAAATCTAACGTTAAAATGTTAATCAATTACAAGAAAAAGAAAGTTGAAAAATAATCTAAAAGAATTAATCTTTATTTCTATCTAACCAAATAATATTATATTTAAACATAATAAACAATCTACGCTACAAATAATTATAATTATAATAATTGTTATTAATTAAATGTATATTGCAGTATATTTTTATAAATAATAAATAATATATCCATTTATATCTAAATAGTATACAAATGCTATTGAATATATATGTATAATATATACATGTATGTATGTTTGCACTTTCAACCTTAACACTGCACAATTGCAGTCATTTCATGTTTATTAAAGCGATTGGCTTACTATAAAATGATTATATATTTTAACTCGCGCGTAGTGCCTATAAACGTTTCATCGACTCTACCATGTCGATATAACAAACGTGATAACGATTTTAAGTGATTCAATATCTTTGTCTCGTGTTGCTCTAATCGCGTTTGTGTTAATTTTTTTTTTAAATAATGAACAAAATGACAATTGATCCAGCCAAATCAATTCCTGCATTTTACGCTGGACAAAGTATACTTTTGACAGGTCCAACAGGATTTCTGGGTAAAGTGTTTATCGAAAAGATATTACGATCTTGTCCAGATGTTCGTGAAATATTTCTGTTAATGCGTCCGAAAACAGGATCAAATATTAAGGAAAGGCTCGAGAAAATATTAAATTTACCAGTAAGTGTTGAATATACAAAAAGAAACTTTTGTAAAACGCACTTCTTTAAGGTAGTTAAGATATTTTTAAGATTTTAAAAAATAGTATTAAATTTATACAAACTTTTGATAGAATGAATTACTTTTTAAATGCTATAGCAACGTTCAAATATCATCACTGAAAATAATTATTCTTCAAAAGAATATCTGTAAATTTTTCTAATAGTAAATAATAAAATATTGGAATGCATCAGTTAAAAATTAAACATTCTATTTTTTACAGGAAATTTAGTAAAAATATGTTAGAAGAATACATAACACAGAATTTATAAATTATAGCGATCTTTTATTTTAGCTATTTGAAAAATTGCGCAAAGAGCGACTTTCGAATTTTGAAAAATTAATTCCAATTTCTGGTAACGTCAGTGAGAAAGGATTAGGTTTGTCGGCTACGGACAAGCAAATGCTGGTTGAAAGAGTGACTATAATAATTCATGCAGCAGCGAGTGTGAGATTCAATAACAGTTTAAAGTATGCTATATTTGTCAATACCAGAGCAACAAGAGACATCTGTATTTTAGCACAAAGTATGAAGAATTTAATCGTAAGTCAGAGAGTAACTAAGATTATGAATTTAAATAATTTATTCTCTGTCACACAATTTATGTAACAACTTATATTTTGATTATAAATGTCTTTCGAAAACACGTATCATTATGTACTTTTCAAACTTAATAAGAAATGTGTTCTATTTCAAAGCAAAAATATATAAAAATAAATTGTTCTCTTATATTACATACGTTAGAGTAATTATGTAAAATTTGAGTGTAATTCTTTTATCAGTTTGAACGTTACTTAATTATCTTTTTTATTTGTCTTAATTGTAATTATAGTTACTTTTATAAAGTAGGGGAGAGTAGCCTAAATCGGACCTATTTGCAGTTTTTGTTCTCTATAAGGCGTAAATAAAGTCCGGTCGTAAAACCGAAGGTGCCGTTGAAAAGATCATTTAATTCCCTTCATGTTTGCTTCAGACCATTTTGACGTATCTCTCACTTGTGTTGAATTATAATAGAAAATGTGAAAACATATTTTTCGGTCCGATTTGGAACCAATAGTTCCAAATCGGACATTCCTATTTTTATGGATTTTTAGATTGAATTATAAAATATTTTAATGTATTTTTGTTAGTATTGAGTAAAAATGAGCAATTTGACACACAGTCAAAGATAAAAATTTTATTAAAAAAAGAATTACTGACAGTTTATATTATTACAATTGAAAGCAATAAAACTCAATTAATCTGAGTCTCATGACTCTAATGACTCATGATATTTTACTGATTTAATTCTTTGGACCAGATCTGATCATCCGATCACCAGTACTACAACCAGGCCTAATAATAAATTATCTGTACTGTTCGATTTGGACACGGGTCCTTTCGAACTTTGGAACAAATTTTAAAATAAACCGCAAAAGTGATCCTCAACGACAAAACGCTTGATATTTTTGAATTCTACACCTTTTAATTATCTTAAATCAATAAACTTTCAAATTTTTAATACCTTTTAAATAATGATTTACCAGGATTTTCTTTTTTAAAAAAATTTTCGCGCGACGGCTGAAAATACACATTTACGTCTATTCTATGAATGTTATGACAGAGAACTATCAAATTGCTGTCATATGTTCGGTCTCTTATAAGGACTTTCCATTATAAATAGTACGCAAATCTGCTTAAACGTATCCATTTAAATTAAAAGGGTTTTATTTGGAACACGATCTGATTTAGGCCACCCTTCCATATAACCTTCCCAAACCTGATTGTAAACATACAATCATATATGTACAGACCGAATATTCTAATAAAACACTTAAAATATAATAAATTCGGAAGAATATTTATTCTAATGTTTGGTGTTTTAAAATTGACAATATAAATTCCATTATCACTATTATAAAAACTAAAAAAGATCTTTAAAATAGCATAATTTTTAATTAATATTGTTTTTATCTGTTAAAGGCATTAGTATACGTTAGTACAGCATTTGCACATGTGAATGAACCATTCGTAGATGAAAAAGTGTACCCGCCAATAGCTGATTGGCAAAAGATAATTGAAACAGTCGAGACATTGGATGAACATACTTTAGACATTTTTTCGGCTAAGTAAGTTACAAACGAAAATCGATTATGCATTTATACGTTATATATTGATGTACTAGAATCTTTCGCTTTATTTATATAATTTTAATCATATTCAAATTTTTAAATCTATATGCACTTAAAATTATGTACAGGTGTTTAGATTATGCACCCAATACGTATATTTTTTCAAAAAACCTAGCGGAAAAGGTGATACAAGATTATTCTTCCTCAATCCCTTGTGCGATTGTAAGACCTTCCATTGGTATGTAGCCTTTCTTTTACTATTAAAATTTATTTCTGGTCTTAATGCGTTACCGTGTGGTGCTAAATATTTGTATTTCCACTATTTCAATAAAATAAACTAGTTGCACTGACAGAGAGCGTGTAATTTCCTTTTGGAAATAATAATTATACCACTAAAAGTATATACAGTAGGAAAAAAGAATAAATATATTATATATTTTATATTTTAATATAGTTTAGAAGCTGATTTATTTTAACTTTTATATTTATGTAATGTAATTAATTAAATGGATCTTTAAGATACGTTTTCATTATAAAACGACATTTGGCTGATATTTATTAGCATTTGAGAAATTAAACAAATAAAAATTAAAGATATATTTATAGAGCTTTGTAATATTTTTACGTAATTTTGATTGATAATTCATATGCAAGAAGTAATTTAATAATATCACCAGAATCAAGTATCCGGAAAAGCTGAGATGACAAATAACTTGTTTGCTGAGTGATAATGTAATAATAATAATAATTTAACAATTGTGTCTGATATCCTAGTAATGTCAACGATACAAGAACCTATCCCAGGATGGATAGATAATGTTTATGGTCCAATAGGACTTTTTATTGGCGGCGGAAAAGGAATATTACGAGTAGCATGTTTGAATAAAACTGTTAACGAAGATGCAGTACCAGTAGACATTGTCATTAAAACTATAATAATTATAACTTGGAAAGTAGGATTAACCACGTATGATCACAGGTATATAATATGCTTGCATTTTTAACTATATTATAGATTATAAGTGCACGTGAAAACTTTTTTCTCTATTTGGAAATACAGGGTGTTTCCAAATTAAATCGCAAAACTTCGGGAGCGTGTAGAGGAGTAAAAAACTAAGAAAAAAAGTCCTATAGACATATGCTCGTTTTTGCTCCGTTTCAGAGAAATCGAAAAAAAATGTTTACATTTCTTGCCATATCTAGCACCGACATATTTGATTACATTTTCCACTTTCTGTTATGAATTTGTCAGTCGCTCTTTGAAAGCCTTTAACAGTAGATGAATTTTGTCTTTTGCAATATGCCGCGTACGTATTCTAATAGTGAATATGCTGATATGGTTTTTGTATACGGTTTCTGCAACGGTAATGCTTTAAAGGCGGTGCGAGAATATGCACGACGATTTCCAAACAGAAGAGTGCCAAACCGAAGAGTGTTTATGTTGACATTTAATAGATTGCGAGAGACTGGATCATTTTCAATTCGACAAGAAAACAACCGATTTCAAGCAGCGTTACGAAGAGATTTGCAGGCAGGGAAT